CCGAACTTGTCGGCATAAGCGACAGACATGAGTACCAACATAACGCCACAAAAAAATTGAAATTCGATTATACGTAACCCGCGAAATTCGCGAAATTCGCAATACTTTTTGAACACACCTTATTACCCTATTTTAGAGAAGAGAAGATCAGTACAAAAATAAACTTATATTTAATGATATAATTTAGATAAAATTTTTAGAGGAATGTTTAATATATCATTGAGAATTCTATACAATATAAGAAAACAATATGAATGAAAATAAGCAAACCGGGTATTCACCGAAATTGCTCCCAGCGCTCCCCAAATATTCGGAACATCATGTAGAACCATAAAAATTTACCAGGATTGGTTTACTAAACATTTCTGCACGTATGTTAAACTTTTGAATGAAGAGCACTACTACTAATTGATAAAGCTCCAAGCCATCCAATAAATTGATCAGACATTAAGGTCGCATTGGACCAAGACATTATATACATTGCTAGAGTTGATTACTTGCGGCGAATATTAAGGCAGCTCATTCGGAAAAATACAGAAGAAAAATCAATCAATAACAAAATTTTGGAAAAACTATTGTACAATATCATATTTTAGCTATAGAAAATAGACACTTTCCTTGGAATGAGTTAACAGAAAGTTCTTTGAAAGTGGTATGAAAGTACAATTTGGCCAAATTTAAGCAAGAACGAAGACATTGAGCTCTCTTAACATATTAATTTAGACCACTTCTCATCTTGTAAATGAATTTACCAGTGGTAAGGCATGCCTGTCGTAAAAGGCGACTAAAATCCAATAGTTTCCGCGAAAGTGGGGTCTTTATATACCAACGCCCCGGATTTTTATCCGGCCAAGGACTGTCAACATTGCTCAAAAACTACTTTCGGAAATATTTTTGCGATTATAACAACACAACAACAACATTGCACACACTGTCAATGCGCATGAAATCGTAGAAGAAAATATAGAATTATAGAAACAAGCCGGCTTAGATGACTGGGGTGGAAGATGTCAAAAAAAAAAAAAAAGTAGTTCAAGAAACAGAAAGTTGTCTTTCTTGTGATGAGCTCAAGGAATTAATTAAGAGAAAGAGGAAAAACAAAAAATTGGTAGTAGTGATTCCCCAGAAGAGCAAAAAGAACTTTCGATATTGCATTTTAACTAATATAACTGAAATTATAGACGAATGCATCGAATTTCGAATGGGGGTTCAAAAGCAAGACGGATTGTTATAGATGATTTATCCACTTTTCAACAACTTGACAAAAAGACAAAGAAATTTTTAACTCAGAAGAGACTAATTAACTGGCTTAGAATTTTTTGTTTGTTTTTCCTTTATGTAGCTTTAATTTTTGTAAGAAATAAATGTCTGGTTTTTATTTATTTTTGATATTTTCATAAAATGAAATCATAATTATTAAATTTAATACCCAACTAGTTTTCTGTGCATCTTCAGGTCCAGTGGTGCTCAACTAACGAATCGATGTCATTACGTTTATTTTTGAAAATAAACTTAACGAAATAATTTTGTTTCGTTACGCTGAAATGTTATCGAAATGAAATGAAAAGAGAAATAACTGTGAAATCGCGCAAGCTCAGCGGCTAAAGCGATTTATGTGAAATTTAGTCTCGTTTAGCGTTGCTTCGAATTACGCTCTACTTCGTTGGAACGTATACCCTAAATTAGGCGGGGTCTTACTATATAATATAAAAACAAATTTTTATAAATTAAATTGTTGTCGTTACTATAATAATAAATAATACCAAAAGAAAAACAAACCGCAATTGAAAAACTTTTTTAAACCGTAGCAAATGAGATGCCGAAAATAAGTTTCAAATATTATTTGTTCAACCTTAATAACTACATGCGCCGCATCCAAAGCGTAGAGGACCATAAAACTTTGGCAAAACGGGACGGTAATAATGAAGAACTTATACGAGTAGAATTTGGTCTTTGTTCAGTTGAATATTCAGTTCAAAACAGGACCTGTTAGCAAGAGTGTTTCTGCGTACAATTTCCAAACAGGTATATTTGTTGGTGTCAAAGATAGACGAAATTATTTGTGACTTCAAAGTTATGAATTTCAACAGTGATGTGGATAACTAAACACGAATGCGGCGACTATTTGTTTGACGGTACTGCTTTACTAGCAGACCCTTACCCAATAAGGAGTCACCTGGTCTAAAACCTCGTTTGCCATCGCAAAGCTCGGCGAGATCCTTCCTTAGTGGTACTCATCGTCACTTTACACGCCTGATTTTTATAATTCATAGCTTAATAACTGTGTTCTCGGTCGACTTGAAAGTCTGTTATTGTCGGTTAATAAAAAATATGGTTGAAAGAGGCTCATTTGACAAAAGAAAACTCTGATCTGAGTACCCTAAACTCTAAACTTTGCATACTTTTTTTGTCATACGCCATCGGCTTGCTTTGCAACTTATACCTACAATAACTACGTAAACCCAAATCGTTTACTCGTATAGCAAGCTTGAAAGCAGATTGAGGCCTCACATCCAATTCTCTCTTCTTTCTAACGAGGTGTTTGTTAATAAAATCGCCAACATGTTGAGCTTAATGAAAAATTAGACGAAAATAAATACAAGAAGGTTGATTACTCACATTTTGGTGTAAAGATTTAAGAAAGGCAGATCATCTCTTTATTATGCTGTCTACCTTCTAATGTGGCGATAAGCCGCAACGCGTGCCATATGGGATAGATATTAAGATATCAAGAAAAAAGGACCCTTTAGCAGATGGTAATTTTTTATAAAAAAGAAATGCTTTGACTTAAGGAAGGCTTTAAGACTGAAGGTTTCTTGTATAGAAACGAAAGAGGAATTCTGGTGGCGGATATTCAGAACAAACTGAGCTTATCAAGGGAACACTTCTTCATACTGCTGAACAGCAGTGAAAGTGAATAACCAAAAAATAGTAAACCCGACGAAAAAAGTAATATACTGATGAAATTCGAGAAGTGATTGTTTGCATAAAGTATAACAAAATAGTGTAGGTTTACTGGCTGAGCTACCCAAATATTGTGGCAAAGAACTTGAGTGGGCTTCTGACCAATATAGACCGAAAAAGATAGTGCAATCTTCTCGAAGTTAAATCTAGATTCCAATTCCGACATAAGGTAACGGCGGGTCTCTGTCCATGTCCAGGCAGTCTTGATTACTTTAGCATCGCGTACTGCCATTCGGAAGGCTCGGGTTCAAATAATGGTACGACCAACATCCAAAAAGTTGCAGAAAATTAATTTAAATAAAAAATTAAGTTAAGTTCTCTAATTGCGGTCCCCTCTCTCAGGGAATGTCAACACCAACAAGTGTATTTCGGACATTAAATAAAGGCTCCTCATAAAAAACCAACATCCGTTCGGAGGCGGCTTAGTATAAACTGTAGGTCCTTCCAATTCTTAGAAAAACATCAAGATGAAAAAACCACAAATTGAAGAAGGAGCTCAGCCGAAAATCGCTTCAGCGATTACAAAGCTTGTCTCAAAGAAAAAAGCAGCTCTTTAAAATTCATTCAACTGTAGGGAAGTGCCATAGAACTTGCGCGACCCTCCACTTGTTGAGTTTCAATAAAAAACATAACCTAAATAAAAGTTAAAGCTCGATGAAGCATCAATTACCACCATACAATCAAACATATTTGCTTTCTTGTGAAAATCGAAAAACAAAAAACCAAAAAACAGACAATCTAAAAACGAATACAAAAAGCCCAAGGATGCCCCAGTACACACACATGATTGCGTTGCTGTTTAAGATGATTATGGCAGGAAGGCAAAAGTAAACTCAATTCAATCACTGCCCCAGCATTCGCTGCAAAGCTATAACTTGTGACAAGCCCGCAAAATCAGAGGGCGCGCTTAATATGCACACCCCCACAGAGACGCACCGATTTACATTTTCAGCAGCAGTGCAGTAGCAGCAGAGACTAGCAGCTTTAGCAAATGGCAGAAACTTCACTTGAAATGTGAAATCAAGATTGAACAAAATCAAAAAAAGAGCAACATAAAAGCTAAAGCGAAACACTAAACTGAAACCGTTACATTATCGAGGGGAGAGTTCATGAGGCGCGCGATATGGCGTGGCTGTGGGTCGACAAAACAACGCTTCGGCTTGGGGGTAGGTTAGAACGGAGGCTGATAACTTTCTTACATAAATTTTTTGCGCACTCAGTGGTGGGTTTGTCGGTGGGAAAGCGTAAAATTCATAATCACAAAACAAGCGGCGTTGCTTTAAATGCGAAGCACTCGATGGTGGATATCGAACGACACATTGGCTTTTTGAACGAAGTCACACAGAAATACAATTATGATGATATTCCAAGTCAATGCGCACAACAACAACAGCAACAACAACAACAACAACAGCAATAGCAGCAACAATAAATAGACTAGTAGTAATAAATTTAATTTTGCAAAGCATAAAAGGAGGGGAAAGAGGGAAAAGCATTTGTCCGTTTGTATGGATAAGTACAGCAGCCATTACTGAAAAAACATCCCCGATGTTCAATGGCACGCAGCACCCATTGGTGCTTGTGTGCGTGCATATGCTTGTCTGCAAATCGACATAGGACATGCAGCCAACGACCATTTAAACAGACAGGCAGACAGACACACCAGCAGCCAGTAAGTTAGCTATGTACATACATACATACATACACATTCAAACCGGAATGTGTGAGATCCTGCCACGCTCATGAAGACCAGAAGGCAAGACGAGGCGAAAATGGGCTGGCTACAAAACCACAAGGATTATAGGTATGGTTTTGTGTACATGTATGCACATATGTATGTATAGATAGATAGCTCTTATTATGAATGGAATCAAAAAAAAAATCTCATCTTTCGGGGTGGAGTATGGAAAGAAAAATGTACTGCTGTTGCTGTGTGCGTATCTTCTATTGTTTGCAAGGAGTTTCTATGTGTTTGTGCTTATCTATGTGAGCAAAAAGGATGCAAAATGTAGCAGCAGCTAATAAATAGCGTAGCGCAAGCCAGTTTATAATCAGTGTAGCGCAAGACGGCGAAGTGTTCGTACAAAGGAAAGGCAATTCAGTATAATTTTTGTCATTTTCTTTTGTGTATTAAATATTTTTGTTGCCCCATTCCAGTAGCAGAAAATTTTGAAATAATTTTTCTGTGTAGAAAAACTAGTTACAATATTAACTTTAAAAAATAGTGACAAACAAAGTTCGTGATAAAATTACAAAAAAAAAAAAAAAATGTCTGCAATTAATATGCAAAGAGCACCGCAAACATATTCTCGTCTCTTCCGTCCCTGGGATTCTAAGCAACGAAGCAACGCAGTAGCAGCAGCAGCTTCAACAGCTCAAGATAAACAAGCTTCAGCCAACCCCCCCAACAAGCCAGCTAACGTCGCCGCTGCGCCGCCTAACTTACGACCTGAGGTAACGCTTACCATGCCCTCGAAACATTATCTGACGCCACCGCCCGCAACAAATAATGATGATGAATGTCTACAAACAAGCAGAACATCCGAGTGTGCATCTAGTGACAGCACCTCTTGTCATAGTCATCTCAGCGACGAAAACATACTTCCCTCACCTTCAAGCAGCCAACGTACAACCATATCTTATCCACCGCATCATAGTCTCTACGCAGCGCGACTAACACCACCGCAACCGACACAGCAATCCACACAAACTCCCGAGGCGTATCCTTATACTCGGGAAGAGTTTGCGTCGTATGCCCAACAAATGCGATTATTCTCACAACACTTTCTGCCAACGACGGCAACGACGACTCTGCCCGCACCTGTACCTCGGGATTTATTTTACGCTTCCAATGCGGAAGCTACTGCCTTATGTAGAACCAACAACATCGTCTCATCACTACTCCCACCTTTGCCTACGATTCCGGCGACGAATACGTGTGCACCCGTAAATGGCATGGATCTGTATGCAGCCGCTATGGTGGAACAAGAGTTCGCGCGTATTATGACAGAAGATGCACGTCTTAAGGCAATGAACGCACGTAAACAACGTCCGAAGAAGTTTAAATGTCCGCACTGTGATATAGCCTTCTCCAATAATGGTCAATTAAAGGGTCACATTCGTATACATACCGGTAAGTTGGGCTGTCCTTACAATTCTTTCGGTTTATTTTCATTTCTTCAAATTAAATCTAAATCTCCACAAAATTCATATATACGTGTAGCTGTGTACACCTATGTATGTCACCTTAAAACTTGAGTTATTTCACCGTTAGTAAATTTTATGGACCAACAAGAATACCAACGTCCGAAATAGCCAAGAAAAAAATGTGTACATTGTTCGGTCACATCCTAATACAATAGTAGACCAAGAGAGCAACTGCAAAACAGCTCGTCGCTTAACCGCTGACTTAAATATTTTAATTCACTCAGCAAACATATTTACATTCAGCATTTACTGTATTATTTATCTATTCTTAACTAACGCAACGAGTCCCCCTGAGTGTTCTCTCAATTCCTGTAAGCTCATTTTTTGTCTTTTGCATTGTTTTCGACTTCTTAAACATTTAAATTTGTACATATATATTAGAGAGCAATATTATACAAAAAATTACAAATTATCGTAATATGGAGAACTTTAAATAATTTATACATATATTATGTTTTGAAAAGAAAACAACATTTATTAAAAACACCGGAGATTTAAATTCAAATTTACACCAAAATTAAAGTGATATTGTATCGAATTCGGGAAAATAAACCTCATATTTGATTACGCTGATTTCGATTTGGAGACGGGCTCGAGTAAATCAATTTTCTCGATAGATATTTTCCTCAACGCTTTCAAGACAAAAATAATCAAAATATTTACACGAAAGTTGTCTTTGTTTGGAAAATATAAAAAATACAATTTTTGAACATTTTATTTTATGAAGATCCTCAAACCAAACTATGGAACGAGTGTCAAATCAGCGCGAGTTTTGTTATTATTTTCTGAAAGCACACATATTCCGGCAGTCGCGGTAGCCGAGTGGTTAGCGCTACGTACTGACCTTCGGAAGTCCCGGGTTTAAGTCTTGGTACCAACATCCAACAGTTACAGAAAATTAATTTAAATAAAGAGTTAAGTGTTATAACATGAAATAAAGGCTCCTCATAAAAAACAAACAGCCGTTTGGAGGAGGCTAAGAATAAAGTAAACCTCCCTCCATTTGTTGGAAAAACACCAAGACGCAAAACCACAAATTGGAGGATGAACTCGGCCGAAACTCGCTCTAGCCAATTCCGCTTGAAAAGGCTGTTATGACTCGTCAAAAAGAAGTTCTGAGAGCCGTTACATTGTTAAAACGTTGAAGAAATTCATACTTCGGATATTTACAGAAGCAGTCTTCTTAGACGAAAAGAGTTTAATTTAGTTAAGCTAAAACTAGAGATGCTCAACAAACGCAAGGATTTCATTCCAATTCGCTAACTAGAAAAATTTGCTTACCGAAATGAAATTGTTAACGTTGAAACTGCACAAAACTCATCGTTAACGTTAATTTTAAAATGGCTGCTTACCGTGATTTTACAGCACACTACAATTTTAACGTTTAACAACATCTGTTAACGATTTAATATTAACGACAGCGTTTTGTTTCGGGTTTCTTACTTCAGACTTTCTCTGTAATTTCAAAAATCAGACCTTCTCAGTTACTGGCAATGCTTCAGTGAGCTTGCATATCGATAATTCCAATTTCTTTCTCGAAGCTTTGTTTTTGAAAAACCGTTCAAATATACTATAGTTACATATATTATATACGGATAAACTTTACTTAATATCTTCTTCTTTATTCTTTTTAGGCGAGCGACCATTTAAATGCGATGTAGAAACGTGTGGCAAATCGTTTACACGTAACGAGGAGTTGACACGCCATAAACGTATACACACCGGACTTCGACCGTTTCCATGTCAGGTGTGTGGCAAGAAATTCGGTCGTCGTGATCATCTTAAGAAACACTTGAGAACCCATATGCCACCGGAACAACAAATGGGCCCCACAATACTTTTACCAATGTACAACTACCTCTATGGATACTAAGCGACCTGTCGTATATTTTGTATTAAATAGTACGTGTCTTCCTAAATACTCAGCAACGCGATTAAGAATAGTGAATATGGATCAACATTGTACCTGAACTGGATGCAATTTTGAGTAGGCACAGGAGTGTTTACAACAAATACCTCATCTATAAATATATACATACAAAGTAAATGTATTCAGATTTAAATATTACAATCAATATTTATAAGGAACAAAAGCTACTTAATACTTATTACATACATATATACATACGCATCCGTATATGTCTGTACATGAAATATTATATATATACGGATAGTTCATTTACATTACATTAATTTTATATAGAGTTTAAGATGAAATTGAAATACTCTTAGCGTAAGTGAAAAATAATTTATTTTTATTTTTTTTGTACCAGAAGTGTTTATAAAAAATGAAATAACAATATACAAGAAAACATGAATTGAAGAATGAAAAAAAAAATTTGTAATTTTAATTATACCAAATTCTCAGACACAAGACTCCTCCAAGGCAAGGAAACTAGTCAGGGTTGTTGTTTTTACTTTAATCCATTACAGTAAAAAAACATTCAAAATCAGCTGCGAAAAACCCGAATGCAATATAAGCTTACGTTTTTATTTTTCCCGATGCTACAATTAAACAAAGTAAATTTGTTATTTTGTATTGGAAATGAGTGAAAACTTGAAAATGTGAGTTGTAAATATTGAAATATTAGGAATACAAAAGCCGAGCACAAAAAAGTGTCCACAGTTTATTCATTGTGATCGATCAGCTTCCCGAAACCAGCAATAATTTATTGAAAAATTAAATAAGTTAGCAACGCTAATAAATAACTCAAAAAGAAAAATGGCATTATATATTGCATTCATTTACAAATATTCCCTAAAATTTTCATAATTTCTCATTTAATAGTTCGTGAGAAAAACCAAATTTAATAAAATACGGCCTTTTTTCAATTGCATATTGTTAATAACTATTCTGTAACTTTATACTACTATCTAACATATTTTCCTGTGCTTAGTTTTAATTTTTCTTCCAGCATGAAAATTCATAGGCTCATTAGATAAATTTCTACTCTTCTTCAAATTCATTTCTTTTCAAGTTAGTCCATTTAATTCAATTATTTTATTTACTTAATGATGTATAATTTTGTACTTTATTTAATTTTTCTAATTTTTCTAGTTGAATTTTGTGTTATAAGTTAGAGAGCGAAAAGCCTACTTAACAAATATTAAATGCGCTAATTTAGCCACTATTTTCTTAATAGCGTGAATTATAAGTTGCTTAGTAATCCCGTATATTTTCAGGCGTTAAATGGCTGAAAAATGTAGAAGCAGGATTGCATAAGTATAGGGCTAAACTTATACTATATTCATAATTGTTTTTGCGGCCTGTCGACTTGAATTAGTTTTATTTTATTTTACAATATATAATTTTATTAAATTTTATTTTATTCATTATATTTCATTTAAATTCTGTTTTTATTTAATTTTTCTTTTAATTTTATTTATTTAATTTAATCTTACTTATTATTTTTTTTACTTTACCTTATTTTATTTAACTTTATTCTATTTGATTTAATTATATTTAATATTATTTCTTTTGTTAATTTTTAGTTTATTATTTTTATGTTATCACGTGATTTTTTTCTAGTTTTTTATTAATTACTTTTATACATTTTACTTTATTTATTTTATTTTATTTTGGATTAATTTATGTGCTTTGTTATATTTAACATTTTTGTTTAATTTTACTTCATTTTATTTCATTTTACTTTAATTATTCCATTTAGTTTTTAATTCACATTATATTATAATTTTATATATCATTTTATAATATTGTTTTATTTTATGTCATTTTATTTAATTTTAGTTTATTTTAATATATTTTATATATATATTTATATATATTTTTTATTTTATTTTTTTTTTATTTTATTTTATTTTATTTTATTCGTGATTTTTTTCTAGTTTTTTATTAATTACTTTTATACATTTTACTTTATTTATTTTATTTTATTTTGGATTAATTTATGTGCTTTGTTATATTTAACATTTTTGTTTAATTTTACTTCATTTTATTTCATTTTACTTTAATTATTCCATTTAGTTTTTAATTCACATTATATTATAATTTTATATATCATTTTATAATATTGTTTTATTTTATGTCATTTTATTTAATTTTAGTTTATTTTAATATATTTTATATATATATTTATATATATTTTTTATTTTATTTTGTTTTATTTTTTTATTTTATTTTATTTAATTTTATTTTATTTTATTTTATTTCATTTTATTTTTTTTTTTATTTTATTTTATCTTATTTCAGATATTTTAAAATTAAATAGAATAATATTTAATTTTAGTTTCTTATTATTTTTTCTTATTTTGTATAAGTCATTTTGTTGTTTTGGGGTCCGCGGTAGCCGAGTGGGTAGCATTGCGTACTGCCATTCGGAAGGCTCGGGTTCAAATCCTGGTGTCATACTAACATCCGAAAACTTATGGAAAAGGCAAGGAATGTCAACCCCTCCGAGTGTATTTGACATGAAATAAAGCTCCTCATAAAAAACCATCGTTTGCATCGCTCGGAGACGGCTTAGTATAAATTGCAGGTCCCTCCATTTGTTGGAAAAATATCAAGATGCTAACTTACTAATTAGAGTAGGAGCTATATATATATATATATTTATATATATTTTATATTTTATTATATATATTTTGTTTAATTATTTACTTTCTGCATGATAATAATCAACAATGGCGGATGCATACCAACAAAGTGTTAAATGAATAGAATATTTTCCAAAACGCTATCGGCTTTGTATCAAAGGAAGATTCGTCTCTTGTAAGTAAATATTATGGTGCAAAATTAAATAGGGTTCGAAAATTGTGTGCATCATCTTTATCACTTTAATCCAAAAATATTTTTCGTGATCAATATTGTGTGATATGTGTGAATGTTTAAAGCTCTCGTCAACGAACTAATTGGACCTTATCAGATCTTTTAACATCAGGCGGTAAATACATATCATCTTTTCGTCGATATCAGTACGGACAATTGTACGATGACCACATCTGTCGTTATTGGCACTACGAGTTTTGGAGAGAAAGGTTTTTCGAAATAGTTAAGGTCCTTTACGTACTAGCGACGGCAAATACTGCACATGGTGTCTTCAATTGGCGCCGAATGAAGAAATGACTGGTATTCTATTGGGAACTCGGCTATATTCGAAGTCGTTACCAACGCATTCCAACATAACTTAAATGAACTTTAGTACAAATTAATTATTCGAAAATAAGCACCCCATATCAACAATTTCACAAAATAACCCGAGATACGAGTATCGTAATTTTTAGAAGCCTGAGCCAAGAGAATAGTCAATAACATAAAAAACGTATAAATTTTTATATTTGCTCTTCCAGAACGAAATTAAGATTTCTTGCAAATCTTCTTATTAATCTTCTTATAAAAAAATGTAAACTTTTTTATGGTAACTTAAATTTTGCGGATTTCTTTGATAAAGAAGAACATTTTTCCTCGAAAAACTTTGTTTGTATGAATACGAGTTTATTTTAAGTTCTATTAAAGTTTACCGATTAACTTATATAATTGTATGGTTTTTATTTTAATAACGCACAATAATCCATCGGCCGTGCGAGAGCGGCTTATAATAAATAGTAGGTCCATCCATCTGTTGGAAGAACAAATTTAGAAGTGTTTGCCAAACAATATTTATATAAAAATGTTTTAATTTAGCAAATTTTGGTATGAAGAGAAAAGTTCAAATTGCATAATTGCAGATAAGTTTCACAACATTTGCTTTATAAAAGCTCATAGCTTGGGGATATTAAGTGTTTCGTTGATCTATGAAAAGTAAAAAAAGGTATGATCTAAAGAAAATTGTTGCTTTTTCCAAAAAAAGGAAATTTTTTTTGTAAGCAGTTCTAAACTAAAACATCCTCGAAAAATATGTTAACAAGGGATTAATTACTTAAATGCACAGGTGTCACATGCAAAAAATGCTTTCTTACTTACTTTACCGCTGTTTCCTCATTCGCTGAACTATGTCATTGCCGTCGTATATCTCATACAGCTCATCATTCCATCGGCTGCGGTAGACCGTAAATGTAATGCAAAACTTTTCTCTAGAAAGACGGAAACGATGAGGGAGTTGTAGAGTTTGATTTGCGTTCGTCGGGAGAGAAATTTACTTTACAATTGTTTAATCAGTCTAAAGTAGCACCTGCTGGCACGAGTGATTCTGCGCTGGATTTCAAGGCTGACATTATAGTTGGTGTTGATGCTGGTTCCTAGATAGACGAAATTATCTACGGCTTCAAAGATATGACTGCCAACAGGGTCGTGGGTGCCAAATTGCGAATGCGATGACTGAAGATATTTCGTCTTGCCCTCGTTCACTACAAAGCCCAGATCCTTCGCTTCCTTATTCAGTCTGAACAATCATGAAATATACTCATTTAATTGGCAAATGTATATTCTATAGAAATTTATGTACAGACACCAATTAAACAATTAAAAAAAAATTCAACTCTAGATTGCGCAATTTTGGTGGTCATATTCCTGGAATGGGTTGTCCGATTTTATCGCGATTAAGGCTTTCTGACGGCCAAATGTCTGTTAAAAGGAAAAGGACAGAACAGAGAAAATGCCATGCCTGCTACTCTAATTTTTGCTTAATGCCCATGTTTCGAGCACTTTCACCCCATTGTGCGCCGTCTTTAAAATAAACAGTCCAATAACAAATAATGTAGCTTTGGGTATTTGGTAACTATAGCGCAAGCTTTCAATGTTGTTTTGCTATCGTTTTCTATAATTCAGAGATTTGTGTTTCGAAAGATTAGAAGAACCTGAAAGTTAAAAACCAAAGGATTTATGTATTTTTGAGAAAAATTTTAAAATCCTTTTTATTATGTGTATATATATTGCGTCTGCGCTATGAAACATGGATGACTATGATTTATATTACCTTTCAATCAAACTCTATTGACAACTGAGTTGTTGATTTAAAGAGATTTACACTACTTCATAGAGGTGACAAATTAAATCCAATAAATTTATCTAACAAATTTCGTCTCCAAATAAAAAAAAAAAACTTTGAAAAACTGATCCTGTCAAT